TTTGTATCATTTGCATACAAATGAATATGAATGTGTTCTTCAGCATGTATCTTGTCTCAATTCTACGTGTAAAATAGTTGAAAACCTCTGATTGTGTCGCTAATCCACGTTGGAGCGTGTGTAACTCACATATTAGACCTGTAGGATGCGTGTGTTTACGAGCTCAACTCTATACAAGTTGAAGTCTATATGTATGTGCATTCCCAAAGTTAGAGTGTTTACTTGCTAGCTGAAGCCAAGTTTAAGTGCATGTTTATGTATTTGGTCAAGTTCAATCATTTCATACCATTGAGGCATTGACCATTAACAGATATACATGGCTTTTTACACATTCTAAATAATGAAGCTTGTTGCTGTGCGGTTTTGAATTTCATCATAGTTGGCGCAAAAGTAGTCTAACCATACTGAGTTCCGTGAACTAGATAGAAATAATTCATGTAGTCATACTTCAACTATTTGGGACCGAGAAAGTAGTTTATTTATTTATTGGTATGTTTTGTTGTGCGCACAGAATAGGAAGAAGAAAATTGATGGGGGATTCAATCTGATAATTGTGGATTCAGAAGTCACCCTCTAGGACCACAAGATTTGGTATGCTTTTAACATCACTTTTTTCTTTGCTTTTGATGATTGTTGAAAAGCTTGTTGCTTGGCCGCATGCCTAGGGCCATTACTTTTCTCTCACATAAATCATAATGCATATAATTTGGGATTCTTTCTTGTGATATGAAAACTTTCATACTATCACTAGATGCAATGGCATGATTGTTACGATCCACTTAGAGCTGGCAAAATGATTAAAAAGAAAACAGTTATCCACTCATATTAATAAAAATGGATTAGATAATAAACTATTTAAAAACGGGTCAAATATGAATACAAATTACATTATCCACTTACAAAATGGATAACCAACAGATAACTAATGGGTCCGTTTAACTTTTACATTTGTAAAGCCTCAAATTGGTGGCTCCTTAAGTTTGAGAGACAATAAATTTTCTCAAAAGTGATCATATTACCCGTCGGTTAACCCGTTTTTAATCCGTATTAAATATGGGTGGGTTCAGATAATTTATCCGTTTTTACATTACCCATTTTCGACCACTCATATCCGATATAACCCGCTCGTTTTCCACCCCTACACTCCACCTTTAACAAGAAGTTTCACGTTCAAGCCCTGAGAGTCAGAACCTTCTTATAAGGACCACTTTATTTCCTTAGTAGAACTCGAGCGTTCAAGTCGAAATCCTTATTATACGAGAGGGGTACTTTACCTTCTTAGTTGGTCTACCTAACGCAAATCTGAATTAGTCGGACTAATTAATGTTGTCTAAAGAAAGAAAGAAGAACTTCACTAGCATTATCTACCTAATTTTTACATCCTACAAATGAGAATAGGTGTAGGTCAAGTGACATGTTACCATCCCCTCATAGGACTTTCATTAGAGGGACCAGTCTAAGTTATAGTTGCTTATCATTTTAATTTCCTTTCCCTCTCATAAAGCATCCCATTACAACTTTGTTAAATAAAAGTTTCATAAAGGTTACCTACACCTTTTACATTACTAGTGTTATTACTTTATTTTATTTTTCTTTTTTGAGTAAAATGATGCACATAAAAGGAAACACACCAAGACAACCATACAAAGAGTTGTTATTTACTCATACAAGGAGAGAAATGAACTATTTTTGTGCCCTTTAAACAGTCAAAAGTATTACTCCAATTATATGATCTAAAGAGTAGAAAAGAAAGAAAAGTACTCCTTCCGGTCCAAAATAAGTAACTAATTTGTCTTGTTATTGGTTCAAAATAAATATCTATTTATATAATCAAGAAAAAATTCAAGTTATTTTTCCAAAATTACGCTTACGTACGTATCCCTAAAAAGTTACTCCTCACATTAAATCGTTGCTTCAGTATTTAATTAATGATAGTTTAGTCACACTAACTATTTTTGTCTAGAATTTAGTATTTGCTTAATGGGTGTGTTCAAGGCAAATTGATCGCTTATTGTGGACAGGAAGAAATAACTTTTTTGAAAAACTAAAACACATCAATGAAGATATTACAAATCAAATGAGATGGTTTCAAATTTTAGACAACCATAAAAAGTAGTTATTTACTCACAAAAAGAGAGAAAGAAACTGTTTTACATGATCTTGAAAAGAAAGAAAATTGACTCGATTGGACTAACCACTCAACTATAAAATTGTCAAACTCGTGCCTTCTTTATATCATTTTTTCTCACTTTCTTTCTAATAAAATGTTCGGATAATAAGTGTTCGACAATTTAACCTCGAGAAGTAAACTTATTAGTGTGCTATTTATTATGTAGGTTGATTGGTGTAGGGGCAGCTTTAATTGGAAAATATAAAAGGATAAAGTTTGGACGGAGGACTTCGTCTCAAAAAGAAATTAAAAAGTGACATAAAAGTCAACAACGTGGGATGGTCCGGTCCATGTTTTCTTTTCCTCTCTAAATCATAGTCTGGAAAGACAAAAGTCGTCAATTTTTCTAATATGAATTGTTGATCATAAAAATATTTTTTATTTTGGTTGTTGTTACTTCATAACTGTCAAATTAGCTGTTATGTTTTTAACTTATAAATGGAACTTTTGTTCCTTTAATTTGTGAAAACACTGAAATATCCTCTTTTACTTTTTGCCTTATCGATTTCCATTATTTTCTATAATTAACTAAAAGAAATTGTTGAATCATAACGATACATTATTAATACATCACACTTTGGGCTACAGCTCCTAGTTCAACCCATTTTGCCTCAAACGAATTTTAGTCAGTTTGAATTCTGATTCGTCTATTACTATAATTCGTTATACCCGACCCGACCTGTCTATTTGACACCCTTGGGGTTGTTTGGTATGAGGTACAAGAAGATATAAGAATGATATAAAAATTTAATACCATCTTAATACTCTGTTTGGTTAGCAAACCAGGTATAAGTTATCCCGGTGTTACTTTTAACACCGGAATAACTTATACCTTATAAAATAGAAGGTGGGGTAATTAGCACCGATATAACTTATATTTTCTGCTTAGAAATTATGCAATTGTCATTCTTAATACAACATACCAAATAATGAATAAACAACAATTCCAGCATAACTTATTTCAGTATAACTTGTACTGGCATAACTCATACCGATATAAATCGTATTCGAACGAAACGATCCCTTAATCACTATTCTTTGAAAGACTGTTCTTAGCCAGGCTTAGCACTTAGCTTGTTGAAAATGTAAACCGTGGTCCCTCGAACCTTGGACCAAAATAATCAAATGATGACACGTGTACTTAGCACGTGAGATGTAATGTCCTAATCCAATTCTTAAAGGGTGGGGTCACGTGACGTGTCTTGGTTTAAATAATGAACAGCATTTGGTGACCCAGGAAGAATAAAAATGGCTACATCAGTATTATGGGCCAAGAATTCTAGCCCAGCGCTTCGACATGCAGTTCATAGGCTTATCTATTTGCTTCTTATTTACAGAGTTTGCACCCCACCAAATTGATGCTTTCAACTTTGCCGAATCTTATTGTATTCTATTATATTGTACTATATCGTTTGATATTTACAATATTTGGATACATTATATTGTTTGCCGTCGTTTATGATGTTATAGACCAACCATATAGAATGAACTTACAATATTATAATGGAAAAGTGAGGTAGAAAGTATAATTATTATATGAAAAGGTTTGATAAGGAATAAAATAGAATTATTTAATAATATAGAAAAGCAAGATGAGAGAAAAAAATAAGATAACGACGCGACCACACCAAATCGATTGTTACATAAAGTGACACTTTTCATCGTTACATAAGAATCATCCAGACAAGCTGTAAATTGGAAATACTATTTACCCATAAATTTTCATATTCAAAATGAAGTTAGAGATAAATTCAAGAATTTAAGTTAGTGATATCAGTGAATTCCAGTTTAGTATAAAGACTATGAATTAATGTTATGCTCAAAAAAAAAAATGTTCTTATGCTATATTGCATTTGATGAAAATTTCATTCATAAGTGCAATTTTATAATTTTTTTTATGTTAAGCATACAAATACTTTTACAGTTTAATCAATACAACGACTAGCTTGTTTATAAGTGAATAATAACAACAATAATCTTTTTACTTGAAAAAACATAAAATTGACTTCTAAAGGTTTATTTTCTCCCATAATTTTAAAAAAATTGATACTCGTTCTTTATATTTTATGTAGCTCCAAAAGAGGGCGAAATTTTGATAACATTAAATGGAAAAAAAGGAACTTGTTTTAACGACTGAAAATTATGTCGAGAATTTAACTATCATTGTATTTTTCCTTCAATGTGAATCAGATTTCATAACATAATAAAAAGGGTATATTGTACATATGGAATTTTTTTTTTCAAATTGTCAAAGCTCTTTTTTTAATTTTTTTTTATTATATATATTTTGAAAACTTGGATCTCGTCTTTGGAATTACGTCATTGTTTGGTGTTCCTTGGTTTGCTTCTATTAACATTTATTAATATCTATGTAGGATTTTTTTACTTATAGCCCGTGTCCGAAACTATTTAAATTCGATAGTAAAAATAAAAATTATAAAATTTGTATAAGTTAGAGAAAATTAAGAAAAGGATTAAGAACAATAATTGTAGTTTTGACACATATTAACTCCAATGTAATGTAATTATTAAAAGAAAAGTTAATATATTGATATATGAGTTTTTCACATAATATGTGTGATTTGATTCACATTGTCCTTTTTCCTTCCTCCTAAAAAAATCATAAATAAATAGTATAACATTAATTAAACAACAACAACAACAACAACAATACATCCAATATTATCCCACCCCTTAAGCATAATGTGTACCCAAAGTAGGATTTAACATTAATTAAACAGGTTGAAAAAGAGAAATAATATGATTGGATGATTGCAACACCCATTTATGGGAGTGGAAGCAGCATAATAAATTTCCTACCAGAGATATGGTTTTGAAGAAAAGAGTCATTCACTTTGTCAGAGAAGACTGTCACTCTCTAACAGTATTGAAAGGCTCATCTTTCTCTCTCTCTCTATACCAGAGCACGCTTCTCGCATTTGAGAAAGAAACCAGAACAAAATACTCCCTTTTTTAGAAATATATAAAAATATAATTCGGCTGCGTCTGATCTGTGTCTTCAATTGGCCTTTTCCTTTCAATTTCTACAATTATAATATGCATTTTGTGGTGGTATATTGATTGAAAAGGTGGAAACGTTGTAGAAGAAATGCTTGAATACTGCTTCGGATTCATCGAGGTCAGTCCCTAGTTTTGCAATTTACATTATGAGCTTGTTTCGTTTTAGACGATCGTGTGGTAACTGCTCGGACGATGATTTGTGGTTCAAATGCATTATTTTTAATTTTTCTTTGTTTGTAGTATGCGTAGTAATTCTTGTGTAATTTCACCTTTTATCATCCTGTGCGTGTATGAAGGAGTAGATTTAGTTTTAGGACTGTAATACTACCAATCTGTGGGAGAGCTCTATTTTTGCTAACATATTTGGGCAATTGGGCTGACTTCTGCTAATACTGTCTTTATTGTCATTTCATCTAGTAAAAGGACTATTTTCATAGTATGATGTGAGGTAGATGAAGCTAAAGCTATGAGTTTTTATTTCTGTTGTGTTGGATATGGATCTGTTTATTTTACTTTTGACAAAGTATATCTGTTGATTTTATGAGTTCTATGAATACTTGAATAAAGCGGAACAAATAATAAGAGGATTCATATATCCAACACCAGTTAGTATGGAATTGAGGCGTGGTGATTGATGGATATATGGTTCCACAGAAAATAGAAATTTGTCATTTATCAGGACTATGTGTACTGTGTTTTTCCCTTCTCGTAGGTATTAAGCTCTTGAATGTTGAATCTTTGCTTAACTATCATGTTTCTTAACGTTGGAACTCATAAAACCTGGCATACAGCCATTGGAACCATAAGCACTCTATATTTCTAACATAATGTGGGTAATTTCCTTGACTCTTTCATTAAGCACCACTGCACCATGACCGATGATTCCTTCCGGAAACCCCTGCCCCTCCCTTAACCGGAATAAATGCGAAGAATACGTGTGCTACTTATTGGCATGGTTTGGATGTTATCCTTTTACCTAGTCTCCTCAACTTGGTAAATGCCAATGAATCGGTATTTTTATGCCTTGCTGTGATTCACTTCCTATTTGTCGCGCTTTTGTTTAGCTCATACCGACTAGCTTCATTTTGCTTACTTTTAGTTAAAGTTTCTCTTCAACAATATTGAGTTAACGACCTTGTCGTCGAACTAGGTAGACAGGAACACATATGGGATGGAGGGCTGCACCAGAAAGAGTTATGCAGAGAGAAGCAGAGATTAGTGTCAGTGATTCCCACAAGGTTCATTTATGGCATCCACTGGCCTTGGCCATGGAGGAGCAGGCAGTTCTAGAAGTGCTAATGGATTCAAGAGTTCATCTAGTTCAGTTGACTGGCTGGGAAGAGAGATGCTTGAGATGAGGTTGAGAGACAGGGTGGACCATGATGATGACAGGGTGAGCTTCTAAATTTGACTGCACCAATTAGTTAATGTTCCATAGTTGATTCTACCACTAGTGGTCTTAGTCAGAGCGCTAACTAGGTTCTCTGTTAAGTTGAATAGACCATGCTTTTACTGGAGTTTTCTGGTTTTTGTTTTTCTCAGGAATAGTCAGCCTGACATTACTACTGCTTTAGTATTCATGTTAGGGCCTTAAGATGGAGGCATTTGGTCCTATGGACTTCAAATTCATAGGCTTAAATATTTTGTGTACCACTTTGGATAGTCAGGATATGAAATGCCTAGTTAAATCAGTTCATATTAGCCTCTATATTGTATATATTCATATGAACTTGATGACAAAGTCATTTTAAAGTTTAAAATTTGATTTTAATGTTGAAATATCCTTGTAATTCAGTTGTCTCCCACCGGATGGAGTATGGACCTATCAAAAATACATATTACAGGTTTTTTTTTGGTTAAATGCCCCAAGAAACATGCTTAGATTTTAATTTTTCCATGATAATTATAAAATAAAAAATGTAATTATAATATTAAGGGCTGAAGTCAATATTCCTACGGTACCGTCATCACTGTATGAATTACTCTATAACTTAATCTTCTCTAACAATCCTGGGTTCCTCTACCGTCTCTCTCCTGTTCCCCCAAGCTGCACTTTCTCTCTTTTCTGCTGCCTGTCTGAGACTTCCTTCCTTTTCATTGTTTGATTAACAAGGAAGTGTGCTTATAATGGCCTACTATAGATATAAATTGATTTTGTGTCTCTCAAGGATACTACTTACACTCAGCTTTAGAGCATTACAACTTCAGTGATCATTTATCTGGCGGACATCATTCTTCCTATCATTTTGTAATAATCATGCAGGACAGCGAACCAGATATAATTGATGGTGTGGGTGCAGAAACAGGGCATGTTATTAGAACCAGTATTGGTGGTCGAAATGGTCAACCCAAGCAGGTTCTAATTAGTTATGTGAAGTATTACTTATCATGTGGTTGGGATGAAAAATGACTGTTTTTATTGGGGTTCACAGAATGTCAGTTACATAGCAGAACACGTGGTTGGAACAGGTTCTTTTGGTGTGGTTTTTCAAGTAAGCAGTGCTATAATTTCTGGGTTATCTACTTCTGTTTTTTCTTTATGTTCTATGCTATTCTGATATAAGTTTGCTATTATCATAGGCAAAATGCAGAGAGACTGGAGAGATTGTGGCAATTAAGAAGGTTCTTCAAGATAAGCGATACAAGAACAGAGAATTGCAGATTATGCAAATGTTGGATCATCCTAATATTGTTGCTCTGAAACACTCTTTCTTCTCAACAACAGACAAGGAAGAAGTGTACCTCAACCTTGTCCTTGAATTTGTTCCAGAATCTGTCAATCGTATTGCAAGACAATACAACAGAATGAATCAGAAGATGCCATTGATATACGTCAAACTCTATACCTATCAGGCATGTCGTACTTGTCGCTGGATGTAAACTCATAGTTAGACATTTACTTGATTATGTAACCTTTGTGTGTGTGAACGATAGTTGGTGCTCTCATTATGGTTATTGGCTGGTGCTACTTGCCTATATTACTTTGGCTAGTTTTGAGTTTAATTGCCTTTCTTTACTATCTAGCACCTGCTGACTGCTCAGTCTTCTTTGGTTATTGTATTTCTCATGGTGTTTATTGACCTGGAGAAAGCATATGACAAGGTTCCTAGAGAAGTTCTCTGGAGATGCTTGGAGGCAAAAGGTGTGTCGGTACCGTACATTACGGCGATCAAGGACATGTATGATGGGGCTAAGACTCGGGTTAGGACAGTAGGAGGAGATTCTGAACATTTTCCGATTGTAATGGGGTTACACCAAGGTTCTGCACTCAGTCCGTTCTTATTCGCCTTGGTGATGGACACATTAACGCACCATATTCAAGGGGAGGTGTCATGATGCATGCTATTCGCCGATGACATAGTTCTGATTGATGAGTCGCGAGTCGGTCTTAATGAGAGGCTAGAGGTTTGGAGACAAGCTCTTGAGTCTAAGGGTTTCAAGCTGAGCAGGACAAAGACGGAATACTTGAAGTGTAAGTTCAGCGCTGAGCCGGGGGAAGTGGGCATGGATGTGAGGGTTGAATCACAGATCATCCCAAATAGAGGAAGCTTCAAGTACCTTGGGTCGATTATCTAGGGGGAGGGGAGATAGACGAGGATGTCACACATCATATTGGGGTAGGATGGATGAAGTGGAGGTTAGCATCTGGAGTCTTGTGTGACAAGATAGTGTCACCGATTCTCAAAGGTAAGTTCTATAAAGCGGTGGTTAGACCGGCAATGATGCATGGGGCTGAGTGTTGGCCTGTTAACAACTCACATACCCAGAAAATGAGATTAGCAGAAATGAGGATGCTGAGGTGGATGTGCGGGCACACTAGGATGGATAAGATTAGGAATGATGATATTCGGGAGAAGGTGCAAGTGATTCCCATTGAGGACAAGATGCGGGAAGCGAGACTCAGATGGTTCGGGCATGTTCAGAGGAAAAGTCCAGATGCTCCGGTAAGGAGGTGCGAGCGGCTAGAAGTGGAGGGGACGAGAAGAGGTAGAGGGCGGCCTAAGAAGTATTGTGGAGAGGTGATCAGACATGATATGACAAGGCTTCAAATTTCCGAGGACATGACACTTGATAGGAAGTTGTGGAGGTCGAGTATTAAGGTTGTAGGCTAGGAGGTAGTTGAGTCTTGCCTTACTTATACCTTTGCGAGACTAGTCTGGTAGGGTTTTTACCTAAGATAGCTAGTGACATTGTTGTGTCTTACTATTTCAGTGCATGACGTATTTAATAGCTATCGCTTTTTTTTTTGCAGCTTTCTTCTAGATTTCATGTTCATTTTTTTTTCTTTTCGTATTATTTCTGTGGCGATACTAATATTCTCTGCTTTTGTCCTTCCGTACTATTGAGCCGAGGGTCTTTCGGAAACAGCCTCTCTACCCCTTCGGGGTAGGGGTAAGGTCTGCGTATACACTACCCTCCCCAGACCCCATTAGTGGGATTTCA